TTCCCTACGCATATTCAGTGTGTTGGTTTCAATCCTCACTCTATTTAGTAGCTGACTCCAACATGGTTTCTATGGCTTTGTTGCAATTTCTAGTAAACTCTCATATTTTGATAGTAGCCGAGGCTGTTTTAGAATATATTCTTTATCCTCTTCTCTGTGATGGATTCCTTTGGGCAGAGTTCTGCTAAGGTATGGATACTTGACAAATATATATATATATTTTGTGAAAAAATTAGGAATTGATAGCAGCTGAGATCTTAGCTTGGAGTCCAGGAGCCACTGATTTCTATTCTTTAAGAACAGGCTGAGGCTCCAAATTAAGAGCTCCAACATGCACTGTATAAGCTATACCTATGCTTTACAGATACAGTGCAGGTGCTACCCTATGTCCTTCTATCACTCACAATCCCTGTTGAGTCCTTCAAATGTCAAGCCTCGTTAAACCTCACCCATAATGGTGAATCTTTGTCTGGGATACCAATTTGGCAACTGGATTGTCTGATGGAGTCTCTGTAGTAAGTGCCTGAGTGGACACGGAACAAGGGCTGATCAGGGCAAGGGAATAATACCATTTTGCATCAATCAGGGTTGGGAGTGCTGGGGAATGTGGACTCTGGAACAAGCTTCTAGTGTCCTGCCTTTGCACAGGGTTGACAACAGAGCTGATGTGTCTGTTACTTGCAATGCCTGTTCCCTACTTATCCCTCAGCAGTACTTGTGAGACCACCTGTAACACAGGTGAGAAGGACACTTAAGTGAGAACATCCAAAACTATTGTAACGTGGGAAGTTAATCCCCACTGAAGTGGCATACATGTGAAGGTGCACATGAAGATCACAGAGTGGAATGGAGTGGTGCAGCCAGAGGACTATTGTGCAAGGAGTGGGTGAGTTAAGGGCAGTTAATGACAAAACAAGGGGAAATGGGTTTAAACTGAAAGAGGGCAGGTTTAGATTAGATATTAGGAAGAAGTTCTTCACTGTGAGGGTGGTCAGACACTGGAACAGGTTGCCCAAGGAAGTTGTAGATGCCCCCTCCCTGGAAGTGTTGAAGGCCAGGCTGGATGAGGCTTTGAGCAACCTGGTCTAGTGGAAGGTGTCCCTGCTGATGGCAGGGTGGTTGGAACTATATGATCTTTAAGGTCTCTTCCAATCCAAACCATTCTGTGATTCTATGATCCTCTGGCTTACTGCCTTCTCGTGTACACTCTGAATAGCCTGTGGCCACTTTGCAACTTGCTATAGCACAGTGTCCATGCTTACTCAGGTGTGTGTCTCCATACTATGGACACCATGTGACTGCTCTCTGCAGTAACACAATTAATCAGTGTATACACAATAACTGTGTGAGAATTGCCCATGAGACAAGTGTATTGTCTTGTCCACCTGAAATATTGTATGCACCTGCCCAGGAACTGTAACTCTATTGAGGTAAGGATATTGAAGCATATTGTCCAAGGGACTCTTCAAAGCTAAGTCCACGTTCCCAGCTTGACTGCTACAAGTGACTGATGAATCTGTATTGTGAGCAAGACTCTAGAAGAGGGCTAGCAGTCCTGGGGCTGACAAACCTTACCACAAATGAGAACTCTGGATGGTGTGCTGTGATCCACAAGGAAAACCTTCTCCAGTGCTGCAGTTCCTACCCCTTACTCAAACTTAGTTAACCAGCTTTAAGTGTTGGTGCCTTTCTTACTAGAGAACTGGCACCTCCTTGGTGCAAAACATTATGCTAGGGGAACAGTTGGAATCTGCTTATTCATGCAACTAATTTGAACTAACCATCTTGCTTCTTCCTGACATCCTGGAATTGTGTGTTTCTGTCAGTAAACCTGTGTAATGCAGCACTTGGCAGTTTGTCAGCACAGCCTGTCTTTGTGAGAGGGTTGATTTGGCAAGGGGAAGCATCAGGCTCAGTGTGTGGGAGGGCCAGATCCCAGGATTTTCCAAGAAATTTTTTTTCCACACGGAATTTCCAATCTGGTGGGGGACAAGCCAGTTGAGAGAAATAAAAGGCCGTAGTAAAGGCAGGAGATTACACAGTCCAGACCCTTGGAGCTGAACTTAATCTTCAAGTCTGTATTCAGCAACAGAAACCAGTCACTGAGAAATACCTCAGAAGACTTTGCCACCTGGCCACCACAACTGAAACCTGTGAGTATAACTGGTGTGTGTTATTCTATTTCATTGCTCAGCTAAAGGAAAACTTGACAGATGGAATCCTGTGTTGGTGTTCTTTAAAAGCTGTTTACATTTAAAAGCTATCTTGATATTAAGAACTGTTTTAAAATGAGTAATTTTCTAAAAGACTTTGCTTAAGCCTTTAGAATAATTGTTATAAAGTATATAAAAAAGATTGGATAGACAGTATTTTGTATTGAATTTTAAAAAGTCAGTGTTTGTTCTTTACAAATGTATTCCTTTGATCTTTAGCTGTCTGCTTAAAAGATAAAGAGAAGAGAAAACTCTCAGAAACATGATTTGCTTGTGGTTCCTCTCTCTTCTTGCTTATGGTAAGTATGTATGTCTGTGTAGAGAACTAGTTGGTTGGTAATATTAGTGTGCCTGTTCTGTTTGAGTTCAGAATTAAATACAATTTTTGAACCTGTTTAGCTTGAGGCTAGGTTCACATAGAAAAGCCTGGCTGCAATGGCACGTTTCCCTGCTTGTTTGTCAAATACATTGGCTCCTGCAGTTTGCTATGAAGTCTGCAAAGCTTTGTGTGACTGGACATAGTTTCACAGGCTGAAGTCCCTTTACTTGATGCTGACGTGCCTGTTTTGAAGCTTGCCAGTTAATTGTTTAAGAAATAATTGCCACTGCTTTTTGTGCAGTTTCAGATATGGACAAGTTTGCAATATTTACAGAGCTTTATATTTCCTCTTCTAGAGAGAGAGAGGAGGGAAAAAGTCAGACACCAACTTTTTGACATCTTTTCATTCTAGGACTTACAATACTGCAGGGGGTGAATTGTTGGACGTACCATTATTCAGACACAAACATGACCTACAGGGAAGCAGAGCTGTGGTGTAAAAAGAGGTATACTAACATGGTTGCCATTCAGAATAAGGAGGAAATCAACTACCTCAATAACTACTTACCCTTCAATCCGGGTTACTACTGGATTGGAATCAGAAAAATTAATGATGTATGGACCTGGATTGGAACTAACAAACAACTGACAGAAGAGGCAAAAAACTGGGCTTCAGGTGAACCAAATGGCAAAGGGAACAATGAGGACTGCGTTGAAATCTACATCAAAAGAGGGAAGGATGATGGCAAATGGAATGATGAACAGTGTGAGAAAAAGAAGGTCGCCTTGTGTTACACAGGTACAGTATGATAAAGGCCACTCTGGTGTGCCTGTGTGGAGATGAGATGGTGGGTGGGATGCATTGTTTAACCTATTTTTAACATATTAACTGCCTGACCCTGTAAGCACTTGTACACTTATTCCAGGGCTGAGGTTGTTCTTGTTCTAAGAGTTGAATTTATTTCACTTACCTTTTATTCACTGACCTTTTAGATTCCAGAATATTATGGCTTTTATGAGCAAATCACCAGACTTTCTCTATCATCAGTGAAGAGAAACAGGTTCTTCTAGATAGTGACTTTCATCCCACTCTCAAGTGGGTGTCTCAGCTAGATAAAGATGGCCCTTTTGGAGACATCTATCTGCTGACTACAGACCACTGGATTAGATTTAAAACTTTCTATAGAGGTTTAGACTATTTGTGTAGAGGTCACTAAGACTAGGTAAAAAATAAAAAAAATTAAAATCCAAGTCAGTTATCAGCCAAATTAGTGTTATGGTGAGTTAATGAAGAATGTACCTGTTGAGGATTTCTATTTACCCCCTTGTATATTGTTCCTTTTGCATTTTAAATATTGCTGATATTTACTTAGAATCCTTTCACTGTGAGCTAGTCTGTCAGAGGTATTAATTTCTGAAATGCTTCTGTGAAAAGACAGAGTAATTCATGTACCTTTGTATATGCTTTTCTTTTGCTATACAAAGTGCTTGTTTAGTGCCAGAAAGATAAAGCACTAGACAGGTTTCATTAGTGGCCATTGCTGATTCTTTTATAATTTCCTGTGGTTTTGGTTGTTTTTTTTCCAGCTTCTTGCAACCCATCTCTCTGCAGTGGCCGTGGAGAATGCATAGAGACCATTAACAATCACACCTGCCGTTGTAACCCTGGATTCTATGGGCCTGAATGCGAGTTTGGTAAGATTATCACAGAATATCAGGGATTGGAAGGGACCTTGAAAGATCATCTAGTCCAGTACCCCTGCCAGAGCAGGAACCTAAATGAGATCACACAGGAAGGTGTCCAGGCGGGTTTTGAATGTCTCCAGAGAAGGAGACTCCACACCCTCCCTGGGCAGCCTGTCCCAGGGCTCCGTCACCCTCACTGTAAAGAAGTTCCTTCTGAAATTTAAGCAGAACCTCCTGTGTTCCAGCTCACACCCATTGCCCCTTGTCCTACCATTGGGCATCACTGAGAAGAGCCTGGCTCCATCCTCCTGACATTTGCCCTTAACATATTTATAAACATTAATGAGGTCTCCCCTCAGTCTCCTCTTCTCCAAGCTAAAGAGCCCCAGCTCCCTCAGCCTTTCCTCATAAGGGAGATGCTCCACTCCCTTAATGATCCTACTTTTCAACCAGGGTGATCTTCATGCTGGCTAGTGTTCAGTTTGTCTGGCTTGTTAATTTACCTGCTCAGCCAGTGAGACTGACCACGTACCTTCTTGTGTTTCATGAAGTTGAGCGTTGTGATCCACTAAAGAAACCTGATCATGGGAGCCTCCAGTGTGATCATCCATTGGAGAACTTCAGCTACAACTCATCCTGCACAGTTCAATGTGAGGAAGGCTATGAACTGACTGCATTGGAATCTGTATACTGTACCTCTTCTGGGGTCTGGTCTGCCCCCCTTGCAGCATGCAGAGGTGAGCTTCTCAAGCAGTGATAAATGAGCTTTCCACATTGTACATAGCTCTGTAAACTTCGGTGTTGCTGTTAGTAGGAAGTTCTGGCCCATTCCTTTTTAATTAATTATGTAGTGAAGGTGCTATTTTATTGCAGCCCACAGATCTCTCTGTTCCTGAAGAGATTAAATGGGCAGGATGAATGTTCTGGCCCTGGTCTAGATTTCCTTGTAAGGAAAGACTTTTCTACCTCTTAGTGGGGAAGAGGGGAGGGAGATGATCTAGCTATGAGACTGTTCCCAACAGGCCAGTTACTCCTGATTGTAGGAATTATTTTTTGAGGTTATTTTTTAGATTGTAACTAGTTGCTGTCATGAGCTGCAGATGAATTTACAGCCTTACCTTAAGTCAGTCTTTCATTTTGAGATCTTTCCACTCCTATTAGCTTTCTGAAATAGCAGCACAGTAGATCTTTCTAAAGCTGCTTCTGTTTAGTGGATATGTTGCTAAGTTTCAGGAAAGAAAAACTTTTTAATGGTTTGTTCCAAGCTAAACTCTGTGGTGTCTCTTATGTTTTTCAGCTGTGACCTGTCCTGCCTTAGAAATACCTTCTCATGGTGCTCTGAACTGCTCCCATCCCTCTATGGAGCTCACCTGGGGTGCCACCTGTGTGTTCACCTGTGAGGAAGGATTTGCCTTGACAGGACCAGCCACACTGCAGTGTGGGTCTTCTGGGGCCTGGGACAGGCAGCAGCCATCCTGTGCAGGTACCTTTCCTTATCCCTGGTCACCTGAGCACTTGGGGTTGTCAACATTGGCATGCTGAATTCCTGAGGCATCTGTGCTGATTGCTGTTGTGATCTGTGTGTTGCAGCTGTGAGGTGTGAGGCTGTAACCTGGCCAGAACAAGGCTCTGTGACCTGTGACCACGCTCCTGCAGATCTCACCTATGGCTCACGTTGTGATTTCCGCTGCAGCGAGGGCTACGTTCTGGATGGCCCCTCCAGCATTGAGTGCACAGCGCAGGGACAGTGGTCAGAGCCAGTGCCAAAATGCAAAGGTAAGATTTACGAGGTTGGAAATAATCTACTAAAGCTTAGAGTAGCTCAAATAGTCTGAAGAGACTTCCTCATTCAAGTGTAGTCAATGAATAAGTAATCCCCACTGTGTTTATAGCACTTTTCATAAGCAGATCTCAAGACAGGGATCATTTATCCTGTTGTATTAAAGAGGAAACAGCAGTGCAGGGTGACAAGCAACATTCAGGAACTGTGTCCTCAACACATATGATAAGAGACTTTTTCAAGTGGAGTGTTCTGACAGGAAGTCCTTATTCCCTA